TTTTCTGAGCTAGACGTTGTGTGCCCATCCGCCTCGCGAGAGCCGTGTCCGTATGTTTCCTGTTGGAACGTTTTGCCGACGTTGTGCGGTGGGTCCTTGGCAGAACCTAGTGGCACAGCTTCACGTAAAGGTGCGAGATGCGGAGTTGCTCTTGTCACCGCCAGGCACCAGCTCGGCTCATTGCAGACAGCTCTCTGATTTCCACTCCGTCTCACACACATATAACCCATCTGCTTCTCCTGCCGATACCTACCGTCATAGCCATCACACATCGCCAAGCCTGCACTCCTACTTAACGCTCAATTTCCCTCCATTTCCCCGCACAGACATTCCGCCTCGATGGCCAGTCCATCCCTGCTCGCAACAGATCGCTCCCAGCTGTCCCGACTCCGCGACGAGCTGGCCGAACGCGTCCGTGGCCCCGTTTTGCTCCCAGATGATCCCGAGTACGTCTCATCCTCTCCCTTGCAAATCCCCCGATCTCACCCCACTTGACAGATTCGCCGAACGCTCGCGGACGTTCAACGGCAAGCTCACCCCCAACCACCGCCTCGTCGTCTCTCCGCTCGACGCCCAGGACGTCAGCGCCGTCGTCACCTTCTGCGCCTCCCACGCGCTCTCCCCGTCCGTCCGCTCCGGCGGCTACGGCATCGCCGGCTGGGCCGTCGCCGGCGACATCGTCGTCGACATGAGCCTCATCCGCGAGATCGACATCGAGCCGCCACAGACCGCCGAGGACGGCTCCCACAGGTGGACGAGGCTCAGGGACATGCCGCCTCCGAGGGGCGGCCGCGGCCGCGGCCACGTGTCCTTCCAGGGCAAACCCGAGATCATGGCCGTCGTCGGCAGCACGCCCCGCCTCCACACCGAGCCAGTCGCGGGCGCGAAGCGGCGGCGCGAGGACAGCCCCGTCGACGAGGGCCCCAGCACCACCACCGGCGACCGCCCCATCGCCGACGTGCGGCTGCGGCACTACGACGCCGCGTCGCACACCGTCGCCAGCTTCCTGCGCGGGCCGCCTCTGCCCCCAGAAGAGGGCGGCGAGGAGCCGCGCCAGCCGCCCGCGAACAAGCGTCGGCTCGGCTCGTCCGCCGCGCGCGACGGCGACAGCGACGTGCCGCCCCTCGCGATCCCGCCTCTGGCCGAGCGCCAGCGCTCGACCGAGTCCTCGCCCGGCTCGGGGCTCTCGTCTGACGGCCGCACGCTCAGCACGAGCACCGCAGAGACCTCGCCGGCGGCCACGCCTGTCGACTCCCACCCTGCCCCTGCATCGATCCCGGCGCCACCGGCGCCACAGGCGGCGATCGGCCCTGCACCAGCAGCGCCGCCGCCGCCGCCGCCGCCGCCGCAGCAGCAGCATGCGACTCAGGTCCACGACTTTGTGCCTGCGCCGCCTGCGCCCCCCTCGAGCGGCGGCACCGTGGCGCGCGACCCGTTCGGGTACATGTCCTCTGGCCCGTCTGCGCCCCCTCCGACCGTCTACACCGGCTTCCGCGCCTTCTCCTCGCCCGCCGGGCCCGTGAACATGTTCGGGCGGCCCCTCGTCCCTCCACCGCCGCCTCCGCCGCCTCCAGGCGGCAGCATCGTGCCCGCGAACCCCTTCTCGTCGAACCCCTTCCCGGCGAACCCCTTCCCGTCAAACCCCTTCTCGTCAAACCCCTTCCCGTCGCAGCCCCTCGCGGGCATGGCGCCCGCGCGCCCGGTGCACCCGCACGCGTACGTCACCGTCGGCGCGGGCATGCGCCAGAAGGAGGTCGACATGTACACGGCTGAGAACCCGCTGCCGGGGGTGAGCCCCGTGAGCGGGGCGACGGAGGACGGGCTCGTGCCGTACCACGTCCCGATGTAGGGCCTCCCGTTAGTTTGTTCGGATTTGCTTGCTGAATTCTTTTTTTCTTTTCTTCTTCTTTCTTTGGCAGGGGCGCGCATCCCGCCGGCTCGTCGGTCCTGTTTCTCTCCGGCTTTGGCTTCCTGAGCCGGTTGTACGGGCTCAGCGTCGACAACGTCGTCGAGGTCGAGATGGTGCTCGCAGACGGAAAGATCGTCGTCGTCAGCGAGGACGAGCACCCGGGTGCGTTTTTCCGTTCGCGCGCGTGTGTGTGTGTAGCGCGGGTGCTGACACGGCAAGCCAGAGCTGTGGTGGGCCATCCGCGGCGCAGGGCCCGCCTTCGGCATCGCGACGCGCTACAAAGTCAAGGCGTTCCCCGTGCCCGTCTGCTTCGCCGGCAACCTCATCTAGTGCGCTCATCTCATCTCATTCCCACCCCTTTTTTTTTGCCCGCTCGCTCGTGTGCCCTCGCTGACCACCACCCCCACGACGCCCCCCCGCAGCCGCTTCCACCGCGCGACGGCGCCGTCGCTGCTCAAGCACTTCCGCGACTGCATCAAGGGCGCGCCGCGCGAGCTGTACGCGAACGTGCTGCTCACGGCCGGGCCCGCGGACAAGGACTCGCTCGTCGTCATCCAGATGTGCTACCTCGGCCCCAAGGCGCACGGCGTCGCGTACCTCCAGGCGATCTCGAGCTGGGACGGCGAGGCGTGCCTCCTGAACGAGGTGAACGAGAAGAGCTTCCTCTACCAGCAGGACAGCATCGCGCAGATCCTGCGCGGGAAAGGTGCGCAGCGCCCTGTTCTGCTCTGCTCTCGAGCGCGCGCGAAGCTGAATGAATCCGATCCCGCTCGCGTTCTTCCGCAGCCGGGAGACAGTGGTTCCTCCGCTCGTCGCTCATCCACTCCCTCCCGGACGAGGTCATCCACAAGACGGTCATGCAGTTCGCGGACACGCCGATCGGATGTAGTGAGTCATCTTGTAATTGGCCCTTTGCCTTCCCTCCGCCGCAGCGCGCTGACACACACACCCCGTCCGCCCGCGCGTCGTCGTCGCCGCCGCCGCCGCCGCCGCCCCTCCCCTGCAACCCTCCCCCAGCGTGGATCTTCGAGCTCTCCGGCGGCGCGATCGCCGATTTCGAGGACACCTGTCTGCCCAAGGAGCAGCGCGAGGCCGTCTGGACCGTCGCGGCGCTGCACCAGTGGGAGATGGGCATCGACGACCCGCGGTGCATCACGACCGCCGAGGACTGGATGGCGGGGACGATCAAGCTCGTCTCTGTCGGCGGGCCCTTGCCCACGGTACGTAGGCACTCTTCTCTCCCGTCAGGCCAGCAGGTTTACTGAGCGTGTGACACACACGCACACACGCACGCACACGCACACAGTTCCTCGGCCGCCACGAGCCGCCCGAGCGCACCATGGCGAGCTACGGCAAGCACTGGACGCGCCTCGCCGAGCTCAAGCGCAAGTACGACCCTGAGAACCTGTTCAGGAACAACTTTTGGCCTTTGGACAAGGATGGGCAGCCCATCACTCCGCTCTACAACGAACCGCCTTCGCCGTCCATGTCGCCGTGGCAGCGCTAGCCCTGCCGGCAGGGCCGCCCGACCCGTCACGCATTTCTTGTGCTCTCTGGATCTTGGAGTGAGATCTTTGGTATACCATAGGTGCTCTCTACCCTACTAGGAAATAAGTTACGAATCCAATCAGATTAAACCTTCCCATGCCACACTCCGTCCCCCCCCCCCCGTGCCAGTCTACAGTTAAGACGAGAGACGACGACTCAGACCCTCTCTTCCGCGACGTGCGAGTACGTGAGGTCCGCGTTGAGCGAGCGCTCGTAGCGGCGGCGGCCCTCGTGCAGCGTCGCAGAGATGCCGGCGAGCATGAGCAGCATCCCGAGGTCCCCGAGGTCGAGCGCGGCGGTCTGGAAGATGCTCTGCATGAAGGGCACGTACACGAGCGCGAGCTGGACGACGAACGAGACCGAGACGGTGCCGAGGAGCATCTTGTTTTGCGTGATCCCGCAGCCGAGGCCGCGGTTCTGGAGCGCGGAGACGAGGTCGAGGAACACGAAGCAGGTGAAGGTCTGCCAAAAAAGAAAAAAAAAAAGCGCAAAGCAGGCGTGAGTGACACACTGGTCAGGACCGCACGTCTTCCGGAGTGGATAAGCTCACCATCGTCTGCTCCCGTCTCGACATGTGGTCGTCTGAGAGGGCGAACATGTAGATGGAGAGCGTCCCGACGACGATCACGGACGCTGAGAAGAGCACGCGGTAGACAAGCCGTCGGCTGATGATGGGCTCGTCTTTCCGGCGTGGCGGTTTCTTCATTATAGCAGGGTCGACAGGATCCACTCCTAAGGATTGACTCGGTGGCCCTGCAAGGCATCGATTAGCTCACGGTGTGGATAGTAGGCAGGCGGAAGGGACTCGCCGTCCATGAGTATGTTGATGAACAGGATCTGCATGGCGTTCAGTGGATTGCTTAGCCCGAAGAACGTGCTCAGCGTGATCAACGTCAGGGCGGCCACAGCGGTGCTGAGCTGGAAAGACAGAAAGTTCTGGATATTATGGAAGATGGATTTGCCTTCGAGATATTGAGCACCGTCCAGGATATCTAGTAAACAGTTGCGACACACCTTCTTCCACAGCAGGCAGAATTGTTGTGAAGTTGTCATCAACCAGGATCATATCCGCGGCCTCCTTTGCTACATCTGTTCCGCTCTTACCCATTGAGACACCGATGTCGGCCATCTTGAGTGCAGGCGCATCGTTCACTGCAACCAAGGATGAGACAAAAGAACACAACGGCTAACCACAATATATATTTACCTCCGTCTCCGGTCATGGCGACCACCGCTCCTCTCGACTGGAACGCTTCGACGATGGCCATCTTATGTTTTGGTGTCGTCCTTGCAAAAACGCTGACAGCTCCGACCCGTTCGCACAACTGGCCCTTGCTCATCGCATCGATCTCCCGTCCGGTGAGGCATGACGAGCTCCCAGACCCAACATTCAGGCCGAGCTGCCGGGCGATCGACAGTGCGGTCTGTTCTGCGTCTCCAGTGATCATGACGATCTGAACACCGCTGGATTGCAACAGACTGATCGCGTCGGCGACGCCTTTGCGCGGCGGGTCATACATCGCCTGGAAGCCGACGAAGACGAGGTTCGACTTGGTGTTGTCAGCGGGAGCAGGCGTGCCAACGCGCGAGGCCGGGATCGACGGAGGGTTGGACGCCTCGACAGAACCATAGCCGTACGCCATGGCGAGGACGCGGAGCCCTCGCGACGCGGTCGACTGGGCCTTGGACATGACAACGCTGCGCGTATTCGCGTCCAAACCAGGGGTCGAATCTTCTCCGACGTAGTAGAACTTGCAGCGGTCGAGGATAGCGTCGATAGAGCCTTTGATGTAGTACATCTCTCGCTTCGCCAGACCGTCGCCACTACTGTGAGTCCCACTAACGGCCATGTACTTGCGCTCAGAGTTGAAAGGAAGTTCTGTTTGACGAGTGAAATCCTGGGTAATTGTCGGTCAGGGGAAGAACTGGGCTGTAGCAGACGGCAGTGACGTACAACTCGCTGATCGGACATGCCGAAGGATGGCAAAACGTTGAGTAGCGCTACATCCACGGAATGGCCGACGTAAGCGACTTCTTCGTGACGATAGACAGCATTGTTGCAAAGCGAGCCAATCTCTAAAGTTTTGACGAGAGCCGGAGTAGTGTGCAGAGAAGCTTGTGACGCGCCCGATGCATCTATCGTGACGGTCTCGTCTATAGTGTAGATCTCGGTAACAGTCTGCTCGTTCTTCGTCAGAGTGCCTGTCTTATCCGAACAAATTACCGAGACTGAGCCAAGTGCCTCTACCGAGTGGAGCTTCTTTACGATGGCTTTTCGCTTGGACATGCGGAGCACGCCTAGCGCAAGTGTTACGGTAGTGACAATCGGAAGGCCTTCCGGAATAGCAGCAACGGCAAGGGACACTGCGCTTCAAGTGAGATCAACACGACCTAAGAGATACGGAAAGCGGGTGGGAATGAACTCACCTCCGATAGTGAACATTTCGAGCCACGGTCGACTCTGCAAGACACCAATGATGCAGATAACACCGATGACACCAAACGATAAGATAGAGAGTTTCTTCGCGAGCTCATCCATGCTAAGCTGGAGGGGTGTGCGCTTCTCTTCTACCTGAAATGGAGTTAGCTGAATCTAGTATACTCGAATGGGGTAGCACTCACATCCTGCATCATTGAGAAAATGACACCAAACTCTGTCTGTGTCCCAGTGGCAATGACTACACCAGAACCTCTGCCTGCACCCGACCATTAAAATTCCCTTCTGACGCCTTCATAATAGACGTATATGCGTACCATTTCGGACTAATGTCCCCATATATGCGATGCATGACCGTTCAGCGAGGGCGACCGGCTCGTGAACTGCCCCGTTTACATCGCCATTCGCATAGCCATTGACCGTCGGGCAAGTCTCTGTGTCTTTCCCCCGCGCTGTAGTCTCTCCGGTCAGACTGCTCTCGTCCACTTCCAGGTCGACGGCGGAAGTGAGTCTAACATCCGCGGGTATACGGTCCCCCGTACCAAATGTCACGATGTCGCCGGGGACAAGCTCGTTAGCAAGTGTGGTGAGCGACTTCCCATCTCTACTCGGGCCTCAGTAACCGAGAATGAACGAAGCCCGCAAGTCGAAATTACCTGATTATGTGGCAATGATGCGGGACGAGCTTGTTCAACGCTTCCAGGCTCTTCTCAGACCTCCGTTCTTGCACGAAGCCAACTGCGGACACATGAGCATTCGAATCCGTATAGTATATATCGTCAAGCGAACCTGTGAGTACAATAAGCACTGCAACAGTAATGCTGACCGCATCATCCACGTTTCCCATAACCGCGCTAACCAACGCGCTTCCGCACAGAAGTAGAATCAGCGGGCTTTCGTAAATTGTCTTCGCAAATTTCACCAGCGCATGTTCTGAGGCCGAGACGCTGAACTCATTGTAGCCATGTGTTGCTTGTAGAGCGGCAACTGCCGCCGAACGAAGGCCATCCGTTGGTGAAGTATGGAAGTACGCCAAGGTATTCTAGCGTGAAAGGGCGGAATCAGTGGGGCACACTGTGAAGAGCAGTGCATAAGGCGAAGTAATTAACTCACTTCTACCGAATAGTGCGCGAAGCGTGCTGACGGAGAGTCCTTCCGTTCGTCCCTATGTACAGGCAGCCTTTCATACTCGTTCTCCTCCGAGCCTGGGAAGTACGACTTGACGAAATATACAGCCCTCTGGAACACCCCAACGGGCCCTTCGTCAGGCACGACGTGTCCAAACTCGTCAGCAAGTCCGCGAGGCGTCGGAGGAAACCCGAGCAGCCCCTCGGCATGATGCCGCCGTAGAGTAGTGCTGTATGCAAAGTGGGCATTGGCATCCGGACCTGTCGGTTCAAGGATATGAGAGTCGTCGCTGGCATGTTGTGTGAAATATGCAGAAGCTGGTGGTGACGCAGTACTCCGAGGCGGTGGCAGGGTATTCGAGCGGAACGCGTGTCTAGTGTATGCTGCAGAGCCTGAGGACGCCGTAGAGAACGAAGACTCTTGGCCTGGTGCAACGTCCCTGGCGGGAGAACGTTTGCGGTCAACGCCCATGCTGCATCCGCGTTGCAGGCAGAGATGGCAGCGTCGCGCGTTGTGGTCGTGGTTGCGGTTTACGTGTAATGGGAGCGCTGCACCGCACTCCCACAGCAGACGCCTATGCCGACGCCTTCCAATTATGGATATTAGGCGGGGACCGCTCACGTAGGAGCTCCGGACGACACACACATCCCGCCTCGCACGGCGCAAAGAAGTCTCAATGTGATTGGCTCAAAGGTATCCAAGGTCCCTACGACAGCAGAAGTCCTAACTCCTATTACAAGTACATGTCCTTTTCATACAGCCATGATGGTCAACGGTACAAACATCTACGGAGCAAGAACATTAAAGGTCATTAGGTGGATGAGCATAAGTATCCCAGGATATCATATGTGTAGGGGGATAGGACTATGCAAGAATCGTCCATGAATGAGCAGCGAGCGAGCAAGCTAGACCAAGCAGTCCACAAGAAAGATGCGAGAAGCAAAAGGGCATACAAACAATAAATATCACGGGACAGGCTGCAAGAAGCTTGCGAGGGCCCATCCAATTTCCCTGCGTTCGTTGCGGACCATCATCAGACAATCTACGCCATCGTCGACCTTGAGGGGCAGGTCGGGGAAGGTTGAGGGGTGACCCTCCTCAACCATGATGCCGTAAACTTGGCCAGGTCTAAGGTTGAAGAACGGCAGGCCGCGGTACACAACAGGATACGGCGGACTGAGCGGGAAGACAACAGTGCAATCATAGAGCGTCGGCATCCGGTGCAGCGTGATATCCCGCGGGTCGAGATCGAACGAGGGCTGGGCCGGGGACGGCATAGGCGATAGGTTGAGAGAGGACATGGGCGGGAGCGAAGGCGAGCGGCGATGCCGCGACGAGGACGAATTGCCGGTCCGCAACGTGTCGGTGAGACGTCGCTTGAAACCCGGCTTACGTGGAGAGCGTCCACGGTCATCTTCCGCACCAAGATGTTCGGGGTGATTCACGAGACTGTATGAACTGCCGCTCGCACTCGCCTCCGCCTCACTCGTGGAGTCCAGTAGGCGACCCTGAGATGACGACTTGCGAAGTCGCATCGGAAGTGAGATTAGGGGAGATGGAATCTCGGGTTCGGTATGCCTCTCGGCATACTGCTGGAGAAACTCGCTGTATGACTGGTCTTCGTCATAGTGCTTGGGTTGAGACTTCGTCGACTTCGCCGAGTGCTTTGAGTGAAGACTCTCCGAGGACCGCTTCTTCTCAGAGTACGACGTCTTCGTACTGCCGGGCGACGCAACGAGCGTTTGTGACGATCGTGTCGAAGGAGAGTACATGTGCGCTGGGTCAAGGGCTGCCATGGAGCCCAGCACGACTGTGGAAGAGGTCGAATGTGTCTCGATTGAGCCCGAGAAGCTTCTTCCGCGTGCCCTATACATTGATCGTTGCGGCCCCTTGTCCTTGTCTCGGAGGGGTTTCCGAGTGATGTTGAGTCCCTCGAGTTGGAAGTGTACTTCGTCGTACCGCTGGTGCCAAATGACCATCGTCTGCTCCGCCGAACCCCTTTCTTCTTCGTCCATACGCAGAGCGTCCCACAGTTCCGACCACTGACCCTTGATCTGGGCCCATAACTGCACCTGCATGCGCCGGAAGACCTCGAGGCAAGCCCGGATGCCCTTGTCGAACAGCTCCAGGTACGCGGGCAATTCCGCGTTCAGTTGAGCACGAAGCGCAACATACGACTTTGAGGCTTCAAGAAGCTGAGGGGGTGGTCGCGATTTCGCAACGTTGAAATTCAGCAGGCCGTAGTGTAGGGGTTCGAGAGTGCGCATGGCCTCGAGTAGACGCTCGGGAGCGTTTGTAGAGTCCCTTAGCCGCTGTAGCTGCTCGAGCAACTCGTGATGAATTGACACTTCAGCATCCTTGCACGCCTGGGTAAGTCCGTGTTGGATGAGCTCGACGAAAGCGTCAAACGCTTCGGACTTGGCCTCTTGGTCCACGCCGATCGTCGCGCCAAAAGCGTGCGCCCAATGCTTCAGGGCCTCGAAGAACGTCGTCGTTGAGCGCACCCAGCGTAGGGCGTCCTTCGCAAACTGGCGCACGAACGCATCCTGCCGGCGGAGCTCTTCCCCCAGTCGCGCAACCCGCGCGGCCTCCTCGTTGGCCTCGGCGCCTTCCTTGACTTTGAACGCCGCCGCGCGGATACTCTTGATGCGTCCCAGGTTCACAGACGCTGCCACGCCGACGTTGAGGCCCTTCTTCTTCGCCTTAGCCTCGCCAGACTTGATGAAAGGCACGCCCATGAGCACTTCCTTAACCACCTCTCGCCGGCGTCGACCTTCGTTAACGCCATGCGCAACCTCCTCCATCTGCGCTCGCGCCTTCTTCAAGTGCTCTTTGTCAGGGTGCGAATCTGGCGTCTCGTCGATGATCGCGTTGAGCAGGAGTGAATACTTCAGCAGCCGCTGGACGGGTTTAATCAGTAATGACGGCAGGTCCCATGCGTGCGTTAGGCTTTGCGCCAGTGTACTGGTGTGGGCGAGGTACTGCGTGAGAGACGGGGTCTGCGGCAAGCTGTTGAGATGCTCTATCGCGGATGAATGTTTGGTGATGTAAGCCGTATACATAGGCTGAAGCCTTGGGATCTATAAGAGTGATGGTCTCATGGGCAACCAAGCAACAGTGCAAGTGAAGGGAACGCACCGTGTCGAGAAACAAGGCGCCAACATGATCCTCTCCGAATCCCCCTTCCAGGACTGACCCAAGCGCAGCCTCTAGCTTCCCCGTAAACTCATCGGAGAAGGTGGCCAGCTCCGCGACGTTGCCGAATATTGTTCGCACGTCCTCTGGGGTCATGGGTGGATCAAGAATAGAGCCTGTGGACGAGTCAGAGGCGGTCGAGTGCGTTCTCGACGGTGATGCCGAAGGTGGTGGTGTGGGTGGTATTGACTGTAGGGATGTCGAGTTCCCTGCATATTCCTTAAACAAAGGGTCCTTTCAAAGAGTGGCAACGACGAAGGACACACCTAATGCGAGAGGTATATGTATGTCTCGGATGAGAGATAGGTCGGACGCATACGAGCGTTCCGAGGTCAGAAGTTCTAGGAGCGCGTGGTGACGCTTGCAGGTTGGTTGGGACGCACTGGTGGGCAGATGCATGGAAGACGGTCGACTGCTGCTAGCGAAGGCATCCTGCTCGAACGACAGGTCTTCTAGCACAGGTGATGGCGGCAGGATGGGCAACGGTTTTTCCGGAGTCTTTGGCTGGAGGCTTGGCGAGCCGACGAGGGTCGAGAGACTTCCGAAGCTGCGTCTGTGCGACAGGCTGGTAACGCTGGTAGAGTCGGAGCCGTACTCGAGACTGCTGTCAGCAGAAAATGACAGCACAGATGATCGAGTGTCGATGGACATTCTGTAGTCCCTGGGCCGCAGTGGTGAGCGGGGCGGAAGAGGTGGAGAGGCAGGAGGAGCTGGAGATGAAGGCTCATGTGTCCCGTTTGAGACCTTGTACTCTGACGGAATGACTTGAGACACGCGGCGAGAACGAGGCGAGTCCGCGTTTGCGCTTGAAGGATTCAATTCAGCCATCATCTTCTCCGAGATCCTTGAACGATAGAAGGGAAACGGTGGTAACCAGTGTCTCAAGGGCGGAGAAGGGAGACGTCGACGGGTCGCGGCTTAACTCAATATATTTCTGGCTGAGCTTCGCGACGGAGTTCATTAGCATATCTAAATGAGAAGAGTATGACCGCAGCTTTGCGGGGCTCACCTTCCGAGTTTCCAGCGGGTGCTCTGCCGTACACGTGAAAGAGGTGCGTGCCTGCCTTGCGCCTACTTATCGGTTGAATTGGATGGGTCTCGAATGGCACCGGGAGAGGGAGTCGGAATGGGAAGAGTAGAAGGTTTCTATGAAGACTTGAAGTCGCAGGAACGAGTGGAAAGCGGCCGTTACACGCAGTAGATAGAGGTCCTAAAGGTCGGCAAAAGGTGTAGGTCATGTGCACAAGCGCATGCGCTCGCACTTCCGCAAGATCCTAGGCGACTTCGGTCCGCAAAAGATTGTAGCGACAAGATTAGAAAGTCGGGGATGAGGGGAGACTCTGCAGCTGAGAGCCGAGGACGAGGGCAGAATGGTGTTTCTCTACATTTCCTTTCTCGGAAATATATAAGCGCTAGCGCCCTCCATCTATACAAGATTTTGTCTTAGGCATGTATAATATCAACTGAGGAGCCTTCAACGCTTCAAGCTTCAACGCTCAAACTTAGTGATAAAATATTTCCACGCATTTGCGAGTGAGCGATCGTTTAATTACAAGTGGGAAGGCCGATGCAAACGCGTGACTCTCGAGCCTCCGGGGATTGAGATCCTTGGACGCCCAGACCCTTGTGGCCCACGCATTTCTGTGGGAATGCGAAGATGTAAGTGAAAGGCCTGAGTAGGTCTCGTGAGCAGCAATTCACGTTCATGTTCCGTACTTCACCTTGCCCCGCTGTAACACAGCTGGTATTTAGCTCTCACTTATAGACCGAACGAGGTGGATACAATCGATATGCAGCTTCCGCTCACCTCTGTGGCGCACGTATTCCCAACCTTAGGCTCTCGCGCTCTAGGTGTGTGGCTTGCTAAACAATCTTGCAACCGAGTCGAGCTAGCTGCTACATGTGAACAGCCCGGGTCCGTTGAGCATTGATTGGGACTTAGGCCCATAGTACTTACCTATTAAATAGTTTCCAGCCCTACGTACACCGTGCGCCAAAATTTGCCAACGGAGAGATAACAACGGAGTCTTTGACCCCTGCAGTGTCCGACTTGTTCGCCTGTTGCTCCACTGCGCTTGAAGTCTGTGCGTCTGGGACACGACTCAAGCGCGAGGTCGCCCGCGAGGGCGTTTCCAGCCTTACCAACAAACACGCACATATCGCACCAGCCCCCGGTGACGTTTCCACCCGCGAGCCAGCACCCCTGACATTCATGTAAGCTTCACAAGTCGAAGTTGGTGTCATTACCGCGGCCAAGCACAACAGCCAAGTTTTCCGAGGAGCCAGTCCAACAGTCTTTGTGGAAGCATATCTTTCTCCGAGGAGACAAACCAGAGGTTAGACTCGGACCAGCCGGTATGACAAGTCCCGGTTTCGCCAATAAATCTGAGTGAGAAATTTCAGGACGTTTTGGGAAAGGGACGAAGTTTTGATCTGATCAGCGGGGTCTCAGGCGGTTGTCGAAACCGAGGACTCGTCATATCGACTGAGAGGACCTGTCAGGTTTTTGGCGGGTGCCCTTCGGCGCTTAGGACTTACGCGATTTCGCAAGAGTGTCTCTGAGTAGGGGAGACCGAACGGCGGGCATAATACGTGCAACACTCGGAAGTAGACAAAAATACTGGTTCGAGCGGAGGTACAGGAGCGTAAGAAGCCATAAATTGGCATCAAATGGTAAGTGAACGGCAGATCCCGCAGATTTTGACAGGCGTGAGCATATGCCTGTCGAACCCCGCACGCTGTTCGAAAGCTCGTCGTCGAGCTCATCCGTCCCTAAACCTCGTCTGTCAGCTTTGTATTGGTTCCTTGAGGAGTACCACTCACCTCTGACTTGACTATCCAAGAGAAGGGTATGCTCCAGCTTTGCTTCTGCTCGGATGGCTGCCCTGCCCTTGGCGGCGGCTGTAGGCAGGACCTGCACTATGAGGAGATGCTATCGTCCCGGGTGGTCTTCCATGAGGTGAGTTGTCATATACTGGTTGTGCCACTTGCGGCACATGGTAGTATGATGGCAGAGGTCCTGGTGGAGAGCTATAGGCATACGGCAACTGATGCTGCGGCGCGGTGTACGGATAGGGCAAGTAGGGAGGAATTGAACGAGCTGCCGGAATGGGAGTAGAAGGGTAAGAAGCAGGATACAATGTGGAAGGGAAGTGTGCAGCAGAAAGCATGTACGAGGCTGTGACATATTCGCTGACGCATAGGCGTATGAGCCAGTTGGTGTCGAGGATGTGTACGCCCTTTGGCTTGGGTGCGTGCCGGTGGTCACTGAGGGTGGATGCGAGATGGCAGAATGAGGTGCTCGGAGAGGTGTAGTGAATGCCGGGGGGACGCTGGGCCAGGTCGGAGCTGCACTATGCAGCGAGCCAGATTGATAACTGCTCGGATCTGGTGGTGCGTCTGCTGACTGCTCAGGTCGAGATGACTCTGATCCCTGCACAACAGATGGAGGGGCTTGTACCCCACTAAGCTAGTGATTGTTAGAGCCGTTTGCGCAGGTACTCAATTAATAACAACTCACCATTGTTTTTGTAGTACTATCAACAGCCAAACCCAGGATTACACTGGCCAGCAGTTCACTGTTCTCAAGACGCGTCCGCTTTCCACGTGAAATACCACTTGTTGTCTCTACAGTCATAGCTGGAAAATGACGCTTCTGTCCCCTTTCAGAGTTGCTGCTTGCGTCAGCTGCTGGTACTCGTACAGTAGATTGTACCGCATTGGTTGTCATTTCGGTACCTGCGAGGGAAGCCTGAGCATTCATGAAGTTTGCAATAGGACCCGTAGAAGTAGCGGCTGTAGCTGGGGCCGCCTTCTTGCGCTGATCTTTCTTGGGAAGGGGGGTATATACAATCTGCAGCCTCCTGACAAAGGTGAGTAGTTCAGGTCCGTACTGTTCCCACCATAACCACAACGATCTCAGGTACTCTTCAAGACCATCTTCTGTGGAGATATATTGCGAAGACATGCTAGCAATATACTTCACGAGCGCGTCAGGCAGAATGGTGTCGGGATCAAAATGTGCGTTTGAGTGGTCACGTACAAAAACCTCTGACCGCCAGTCGTCAAGCTTTAGCTGCGCCGACTTGTCCAGTACGCCCTTTGTAGTGCTCCCCTTCTTTTTTGACTGTGACTTTGGTGCAGGGTGCGTGCAGTCAAGCAGCGAGGGGTCACAGATGTCGCAACATGGCACTTGCAGTGGTTTGTCTGGTTAAATGTATGAGCCAGATGCAAACATGCAGAGGGTGTATACTTACTCTTGAAGCTTTCGAATACCTCACGCCAGATCTGATGCCTGCACAGTATCGTCTGCACGAAAACAAGTAGACCCTCGTCTGCTACTTCGACATCAAGAGGTGGGTATGAGCACTCTGCGGGAAGCAAATCGAGTCACCAGCTACCGCCACGGTTAAGGCCATGGGCAACGGCATAGCCCTTGGGAGCTTTGGCGTATTTTGGCCCTGAGAATCCTTTTGCCTTCCCACCCTTTGACTTTGAGCCGTGTGTCTTCTTGATACTCTTCTTTGCAGGCTTCTTGTTGCGATCGGTCCGTTGTCCCAATATATGTTTTTCTTTACCCTTTATTTCTGGACAGTAAGCGCCTACTCGAATGTTCTACCCTTTTCTGGACAAGTCATTTCCGGTCCATTTCTGGACCACTTCCATTTCCCGGACGTTCTCGTACATACATTGTCCCTTCTCTGCTGATCCCGCAGTAGCTAGGTTAGTATAAATACCAGCCGGAAATGTCATGTACTTTAGCTTCGGCCTCCTGTATTATCAGTCACTCTCCTATATCATTTCCGGACTTCGTACAAGTTCATATTCTATGTTCTACAACTCTTACATTAGACCGAAGCTCCCTTCACCGGTGACCAGATGTACATGGTCCAACCCCCTATCACCAGAACCACAAGTCAGCAAAGCACTGAACTTACACCAGAAAGGTGCCGGAATCGAGCACACAAACACCACATCAGCCAACGACGAGATTATCATTTTCGAACATGAGACAACAAGTGGCACAGGTGCAGAGAAGTCATCTGCATACATAGAGACGACGAATCAAACACTGAAGCAATCGAGGAAATCCCCGATCGACTCATCAAAATTACCAGAGATCAACCAGCAGAGTGCATCGAAGCTCAACAAGAGGGAGACCTAGGAGACAATTTCACAGATACTTTCGAAACCCTCTCAGACACTGATCAAGAAGACACCGAGCTGCCAGAAGACAACATGGCAACACAAACAACAACCCTCACTGACAAGGAATTGTTAAAAGAACTCCTCCAGCGTACACACTTCCAAGGACAAGCTACTATAGCAGAACTACATCAGGCATTGCAATATGTCCATAATCCACCACCGCCAGCACCAGTATAGGCTGCAGCTGCCCATGTCGGAGGTCAAGGACCTCCAGGAGGAATTCCTGGACAACCAGGAGGTGGAGGCGGAGGAGGACCACCAGAAGGAGGACCACCTGGAGGCGGAGAAGGACCAATCCCAGCAGCTCTAGAACCAAACCCCATTGACTCTCAGCTGCTAGCAGCATTCACTGCTGTCTTACGCAACGCCCTTCTCCAGGAAGAGATAGGCAAGCCAGCCGAATTTTCCGGAGATATCGAGAAAGCCTGGGATTTCATCCACCAATGCGAGATGTATTTCCTCTCCAAAGCCTCGCAATTTCCAAATGATCAGGCAAAGATTCGCTTTGCGAACTCGCTCATGAAAGACTCGGGGAAGAAACAACCCCGGAAATGGGCGACGGTCAAGGAGAAGTTGTATTTTCTTCAAGAATGGCCTACCTGAGCTACACATTGCCAAGAATTTCTGGAAGCCTACAAGACAACTGACCCGAAATCCCGAGCCATGGTCGAGCTCCATCAGATTGTCCAGAAAGACCACGAAACGGTCAATGAGTACAACGTACACTTCAATACGTTAATTGCAGAAGCAGAAATAGTCAACCCAGACGCTGACGGAAACCTCCTCCAGCAATACTTGAGCGGATTAAAGGAATTACTTGCACGCCAATTGATCGCCCATATGCTGATCAACGCCACACTCTTCCAGTGGCAACAACAAGCCCTCGAGCTAGACAACAGGCTCGGAATTCTCAGGCATATCAAAAACAGGCAGATGCACCTTCCTACAAATTCCGGAACCACGACAACCACTCCGACATCCTCTACCCGTGACCCCAATGCCATGGATGTAGACGCTCTTAATACCGGACAAAGCGGAATTAAATGCTATAATTGCGGAAAATTTGGGCATATTGCCAGAGAATGCAGGCAACCTCGGCAAGCAGAAGGAAGAGGAGCCTACCGAGGAGGAGGAAACCAAAGAGGCAGAGGCCGAGGAGGTAGAGGGAACTGGAGAAACTACCAAGGCGATCTATCTGCAAATCGCCCCTACGTTCAAGTCACTCAATGGGACAGAAATCCAAGCTCCCCTCATCCACCAGCAGTCAGCAACCCAATTCTGGTAGACTTGCACGCAACTCCCACAACTCCATCGCACGTTGACATCGACGCCATGTTGAGTTCCATCCCATTGCCTGATCTGGATTGAATCAATTACAACCACTACTACAACCGCACGGGAAAGGACAAAAACCCGGATTCTACCCAGTGAGGTCAACGCCAGCTGTTGAACCTCTTCGAATTTCGATTTCATCTGTACTAGTAGCAGACATGAAGGCCCAGGCAATGAAATTACCTGTTATCATGAAATCGGAAGGAAATGCTGGAACAAAAATCAATGCGCTCATCGACTCCGGAGCTCAGGGCAAGTTCATCGACCAACAAGTTGTAAGGAAACTACAACTCCGTGAATACCCCCTGGCAAAACCAATACCAGTATTCAATGTCGATGGAACTCTCAACCGACTTAGATTTATTCGGAATTACGTAGAATCCACGGTACAAATTGGCGGCAAAGAAACCAAGGAATGAATGTTTGTTACTCACCTAGGAAAGCAAGATGCTATTCTAGGAATCGATTGGCTACAATATCACAACCCACGAATTAACTGGAAATACGGAATACTTGACTTTACTACCCGAAGATTTGGTATGGAAGAAGAACCGGACTTGGAAGGCAGAATTATCCAAGTATCCTCTGCTGACAATACAAGATTCCTCACCGAACATCTTCTAGTTCAATGCGGTGGAGGAGCTGTCCCAATGAAAGGATCCCCAGAAGCGGCAGGATACAACCTTACCACAATAGAAGATTCGGTCATTTCCCCTCACACTCGAGCAAAGATACCAACTGGATTATGGATGACACCTCCACCTGGCACCTATCTACGTATTGCCCCACGAAGTGGATTAGCACTCAAAGAAATTGACGTCGCAGCAGGGGTAGTTGACAGAGACTACATTGGAGAAATACAAGTCATCTTGGTCAATTACGGGAATACCCCTTTCACAATCACCAAAGGCGACCACATCGCCCAGGTAATTGTAGAAAGAATCGCTCAACCACCAATCCAGGAAGTAGAAGAACTACTCGCGACAGACTGAGGAAACCAAGGTTTTGGATCGACAGGGATAAGTGACAGGTTCCAGCCAATGTTAGACACCACCATCTGAGCCCTCCATATGGCGAATGACCCAGGAGCACCTCCTCTCTTTCGTATCTCAAAAACAACTATTGAACAAGATGATGAAATAACTGGAGATTATGTAGCCACATGGATACCAAACTCCGGTGAAATCCATACCATCCCGGTTACGACCACAATCGCACAAGCAATACTAGGGCTCTCCATTCGAATGAAGGTCAACCCAGCCATGACTCTTGCACAGGAGGCAGAAATACGGAAGCCTAAGACGACGCTCCCTGACTACCTCCAATTCTACGCTTCGGTATTCGAGAAGAAAGCTGCGGAGAGATTTCCGGAAGAAAGGTCTTATGACCATGCCATCAATCTCAAACCGGAATTTGCCCCTAAGAATTGCAAGGTTTACCCACTGTCTCCGCTAGAAGAATCAAAGATGAACAACTTCATCAACGAGAATCTACGGAAAGGATACATTCATCCATCCAAATCACCTATGGCTTCCCCCTTCTTTTTCGTCGGAAAAAAGGACAGAGATCTGCGCCCTTGCCAAGACTACTGCTATCTCAATGAAGGGACGGTCAAGAACTCCTATCCACTACCATTGATATCCGACCTCATCAACCAAATTAAAGGATGGAAATGCTTCACCAAGATGGATCTCTGGTCAGGGTATAACAATGTCAGAATCAAAGAAGGAGACCAATGGAAAGCGGCATTCAAAACAAGTCAAGGACTCTTCGGACTGTGCAATTCTCCGGCAACCTTCCAAGCCATGATGAACAACATATTTCAAGATATGATCACTGAAGGTTGAATCCAGATTTACATGAACGACATTCTGATCGGCAGAACAGACTCGGCGGATATCCGGCGCAAAACGATCCAAGTTGTCCAACGACTTCAAGAAAATGACTTGTATCTTAAACCGGAGAAATGTGTCTTTGACGTAGAAAAGGTAGAATTCCTAGGCATGATTGTTTCGCACAACAAAATCGAAATGGATCTGGTAAAAGTCAATGGCGTACTACAATGGCCTACTCCCACCACGGTCAAACAAGTACGAGGATTCTTAGGATTTGGGAACTTCTACAGAAGATTCATTGATCACTACTCCGATATTGTACGACCGTTGGTGGATCTTACCAAGAAAGATGCGCCCTTCATTTGGACTCCGGAATGTCAAAGAGCCTTCAACAAACTCAAACGACGATTCACCACAGCCTTTGTTCTACTAATGCCAGATCAAACCAAGTTGTTTGTTCTGGAATGCGACGCATCGCTAGTTGCAACCGCTGCAGTACTTCGTCAACAGGATGTTAATGGCGACTGGCACCCAATCGCCTATCTCTCTCAATCTCTCCTATCAGCCGAACAAAACTATGAGATCTACGATCGCAAACTTCTTGCCATCGTCAGAGCATTGGAAGCATGGCAACATTACCTCCTCAGGACGCAATTTCCACTTCGGATATTGAGTGACCACAAGAACTTGACATACTTCCACGCAGCCAGATGGCTCAACCGAAGACAAGCAAGATGACAATTATTCCTCTCTCAGTTTGATTTTACACTTCATCATTGCCCGGGTCCGCAACTCGTACAGTCGGATGCTCTCACCCAAAATTCTGGACCCTCCCATTCCACAGACGACAATGTTGATCAAATCCTCCTGCCAGACACACTTTTTGCGAAAACAAACATTCGCTCACTACACATCGCTCAATCCCTGCTGATATAATCAGATGGCCCACAACACTTCACTGCAGCAAATACCAATGAGGCATTACTAGATCGCATCAGAAGGATGGGACAAGCAGACAACTACGCAAACTCCGTCCGTACGGCAATGCAGAATAACACAATCCCATTTCCTGCACGAACGACCATGGAGGATTGGATGGAAAACAACGGCGTCCTATACTACCAATCCCGATGTTATGTACCATCCGACCTCGCACTTCGCTGAGAAGTCACAAGGCTCTATCATGATGCCCCAGTATCCGGACATCCCGAACAGTTCAAAACAGCAGAATTACTGACGCGTAACTTCTTCTGGCCAGGGATATGATTGTTCATGTCCAGTTACGTCCAAGGATGCGTGGCATGCCAGCAGATGAAAGTCAACACTCATCCAACCACTCCATCACTACAACCAATATGAGCAACCCACAGGGCTAGGCTTTTCGCATTCGTTACATGCAACTTCATCACCGCACTACCGCTCTTACGAGGTTTTAATCCTTAATGGTCGTAGTCGACCATGACTCTACGAAGGAGGTAATTATAATCCTCTGCACAAAAAGGACGGACACGACAATGACAGCAACGCTCTACCACAACCACGTTTTCCGAAGATTTGGAATGCTGGACAAGTCCCTGTCCGATCGGGGACCTTAATTTGACTCCCTCGTCTTGAAAGAACTATGGAAGCTAACTGGTGTAGAAGGATGAATGAGCATGGCGTATCACCCACAGACTGATGGAGAAACTAAACGCATGAATAGAGAGATTGAGGCATATTTCCAGATATTCTGTTCTACCCATCCTCACGATTGGGCCGACTACATCCCAACCTCAAATTTGCATTCAATAATCAGGAACATTCTGCGACGAAACATTCGCCGTTCTTTCTCATGTTCGGCTCACATCCTAAGGCACTCCCGACAAACTTCGCACGATCAAAAGTTCCGTCAATTCAAGAATGGCTTCGGATAAGGCAAAAAGCCCATGAAGAAGCAGGAGTGGCCTTAGATTATGCCACGGCTCAAATGGCAGGAAGATTACACCAGAAATTGACTCCATTCACCAAAGGTCAGAAGGTGTGGCTGAAGATGACTCACCATGAGGACGGTTACCCCTTCAAGAAAATGGCACCCAAGAGACACGGACCGTTCAAGGTACAGAAGGTTCTTTCGAAGCTAGTATATAAACTAGCCCTTCCAGGCACTATGAAGATCCACCCCGTGGTACATGCTTCCCTGCTCACGCCATATCACGAGACACCACAGCATGGGAAGAACTTCCTAGAACCACCACCGGAGATCATAAACCGACACGATGAATACGAAGTGGAAGCAATTCTCGCACACCGGCCCTGGTACGGACATCGCTGGTATTTAGTCAAGTGGAAACACCAATCCACGGCCGAGAATTCATGGGAACCAGAAGGCAACCTGAAGAACGCAGCAGAAATCCTGAAAAGGTATAAAGAGGTCAAAGGAATCCCCCCAACCACTCAGCAGCCAACTTCCAAGTTGACTACTACAACATGGCCCCTTACTCATTCCGCTACCACAACGGCAGTCCTGAGGCTACTCTCGGAGAAACTACACCTCCCGCATCTTCGACTTCCTCCTCTCCAGTTCAAGAGGAAACTTTAGTTGACCGCGACAGCCCCGAACCCGAGTTCACCACCAATGACGTCCAGCAAGGAATTGCCACAGCTCTCGAAGAAATCGCTGGCAAATTCTGGCGACACCAGGAAGAGAACCCCGAACCTGTCCCAATTCCTCCGGGGTTCCACTTCGGAACCTGTGTCCGCATCACCACTCGAAACACCAACCCCCTCAATAATGAATTTGACCCCAACGACTCTCCTGCGCACCTCGCCTACCTCGGTGACATTGTCAACAACCCCCAACGTCGTAGAGGGTGGATCAACAAGATTGACAACATCGCCCATGACCGAACAGCGCTCCGAGCCTTACTTGATGCGACCAACGACACGACGTCCGGCACGCTATTTGCAGGAATTGTGGAGAAAGGACAAGAAGTCCAAGCCAGGTTCGACGAGGTGGCAAGAGACGGACGAGCCATCAGGGAGGCAGTCAAGGCAATTCAGCGGAATGCAGTCGATCTTTTCCGACGAGTCGAGAAACTCAACCGCATCTTTGACAATTTTCACGTAATAGCACTTGCCTACATGGCAACTGATCAAAACACCACAGAAGCTGTTAACCACGTTTGGACACAAGATTTCGGTAATATCAACGTCAACCACCTTGAACCCGGAGAACTCCTCATTGGACCATGCGCTAGTCAGCAGGTTCGTAACCTTCGCAATCCTCCTCACCCTATGTATCGCACTCGCGCCCCTTGCAATTCCGGCTTGCACTCCTTGCACAAAGACTCTCAATCCTTTCGCGGACAGAATTCTCGCTCACGCTCCCCTAACCACACGCACTTTACATTCCAGGAGACTACGAACAAATTCTTCACTCCCCTGGGATCTTCCTCCACGGCCCCTCGAAAAGCAACTCCATACCCGCAACGTCGCCGCTCTGGTAGCCCGATTACTACTGGAGTCATCAGTCACGCTTTCCCTGGGAACTCCGAGACTAACCCAGTCATCCTCGATTGAAATACTTCTACAAGACTTATTTGCTGAGCTCATTGGCTAGAGAAAGAGCTAATGTTACAATTGGTCCGTCGTTCCGATATATGTTTTTCTTTACCCTTTATTTCTGGACAGTAAGCGCCTACTCGAATGTTCTACCCTTTTCTGGACAAGTCATTTTCGGTCCATTTCCAGACCACTTCCATTTCCCGGACGTTCTCATACATACGTTGTCCCTTCTCTGCTGATCCCGCAGTAGCTAGGTTAGTATAAATACCAGCCGGAAATGTCGTGTACTTTAGCTTCGGCCTCCTGTATTATCAGTCACTCTTTTATATCATTTCCGGACTTCGTACAAGTCCATGTTCTACGTTCTACGACTCTTACACTTCTGTGCCGCTTCTGTGGCAGCTGTGGCCGCTGGGCCTAGGATCTCTATGTTTTTCGAATATGCAGCTCGCTCGACAAGGAGAACAGCTAAACCTTTGTGACCAGGTTGTCTCGCAGCGCGGCCGGCTCGCTGCACAAACTGCGATAGGCTTTTTGGAAGCTTCCATTGGACGATGACATCAACATCGGATACGTTGCATCCCTGGTTCTGCTTTGAGTACATCGCTTAGAATAATGGTTTCTTATTGCTTACCATGCCTGCTGCATCTGTACAGACTAATATACAGATAGTTCCATCTCAGAATTTGTCCATAGCCTGCTCTCGATAGGTGTCGCCCATAAACGCGTTGAACAGTCGTACCGCGTTGTCATGCACCATAATTATAAGTATAGGAAAACTAAAGGAATAATAGGTATTCAAATCAAAAAGAAACCGCTTACTCAGAGCTGCAAAGTAAGCATAAACACTCAAGCTTACTAAAAGTGAATCAATGACTAATAATATGACTCAGCTTCTTAGTAATCTAGAAACTATGCTTAGTAAAGGTCTATGCTCAACAGCTATGAATTACCAAAATATAGTAATACTCTAACAAACATTAGTAATAGCTTACCAATACATTAGTAAAACAGACAGAAGGCTGACTAATACAGACAAAATGCTTATTAATAAAAGTAGAAGTAGCTTAGTAATTACAGTAGAATAGAAGAGCCAGTTTTGCTATTGGCTAAGGAACAACAGGCTGAAAGATATAAATAGGAGAGATTCTCTAAGAGACAACGAACACACCAACCCACCAAGCGCCACTCACACTCTCAAGGATTTAGCTAGCAGCAAACCTGCAGTTAATTCCCTGAGCTCTTTAGCTCTCAGAGAATAGACACCTTTCTTTAAAGCCTAGGAAATTCCTTAAGCACAGTAGAGCCTCTGACTTTCAAATAACCTAAAGGGAAACGCCCTTGGTATAGTGCATGAGTTCACTATTTGACTAACCCTAGACTGCGAGAGCTAGTGGCGTCATTATTTGAGACTGTGGTATGTCTTCTGTAGAGCTTACAGTAATTAGACTAGCAGTAAAGAGGTTAATCTATTCTTGATCTTTAACTCTAAATTGGAAGCTTCAGACTGCTTCAAGTTATACAAATCCTCTAAGGACATTGAATTGTCCTTACTAGCCAAAGCTTACTAAGTTAACCAAGACATTAACTTGTCTTTGTTACCCTCTTATCATACTTATCTAAAAACCTTATTCTACTAACCCAAATAGCTAGTCCTTAAGCTACTAACTAAACCTTCTTACAGCCCATCTTCTAAGATTCCTTAAAAAAGTCCCTTGTATACAGGCAAGTGAGGCTTTAGAGTACTCAAGCAGATCAGTAGGTGATCTTTGAATTAGTCCCCCACGAACACCAGGATAGCTTGGTTGAAAGGCTAACCCAGTAAACCCTGGAAAAAAAAGATTGGGAAACCAAATCTAAGTATTCCATAGTATACCCTTCTTGCTTTTAGTTTAGAACAGACCAAACTCCATTCTCTTTTATTAAAAAGTAACCTTCTAGGATTTCTCCTAGAATCTTCTTTATACCAAACCTCATTTTTATTTTACTTACTTTTCTTATCCTAACCTTTTCTTTACGACAGCGTCATCGTGTCCTACAGTGATGCCGCGCTTCGACATCAGCTTCTTGAGGTGTTTTACGATCTTGCCACCTGTTTTGATGTTGTCCGCATATATGTATGTCTTTGGTATCTCGTCAATGGAGGAGATATTTTCAGGAATAACAAAGTCCAGGTCTGCAAACGAATTCTGCAGGTGCTCCATGGAACGGACGACCAGAGACATGTTTGGTCGGTCATTACCGGCATTGTGAAAGCGACCGATTGATTTCAGAAAATCCAGCTTGCTGTGAAGGTCCCGCCGCACGCATGCGGTCAAAGTTGCAGTGACTGCGACGATAGGAGTATCACGAGGCAGAAATGCACAAACTGAACCTAGCGTGCCATACTGCTTGCAAAAATTGGTGCCCCAATGAGAAACACAGTGTGCTTTGTCAATGACCATGGAGAGCACGCACAACATGAACTCTGTTCGTCGAAGTATGAGGTCTACGAAGTTGCATGTCTGGAGCATCTCCGGTGAGATTAGAACCACGCTGTATTTTCTGTCTAGCAAATCCTGATAGCCACAACATTATCATGAGCTCTACTCTTAGTTAGATCAGACAGTGTACAACATACTTTCACGAAACCCTCAGTAAAAATTCCGTGTGTGCTGTTGATCGTGACGGCAGCCAAACCAAACTTGTTCTCAAATGTTTTCACCTAGCCAGCAATGAGCTTGGACCTCACAGCAATTGCAGGAAAAAGTTATTGTATGACGAACCATCTCCGGTTGTAGAGCAAGCAGTGGTACAACCATTATTGTTACATCCCGGGCACCTAGGATATCCTGCCAGGCGTACGGCCCAGCAACGACAGCAGTCTTGCCTTGACCCGTTGAAGCTTGGATAATCCTATTAACCCTCTCTATTTGCCATCGAGTGTCGTCAAGCTGAAAAAAGTGAGGATCCTCTTGCCAGCCATACTTGTCTCGCATGCGCTCGCCCAACATTTGTATCTGAGCATCAGTCAACTGCGGTCGCAGATGAGGGCCTGACGATGCACTGCTTCCATTCTGTGAGGAAGTCTGCAAGTGTTGCCTTGGACCTTGAGCATGTTGAGAACCAGAGGTACTGTGCGATCTATGTGATCCCTGCCCCCGTGTTGCCTGTGCACTGCGAGAGCCCCCAACGCGTGTTGCCGCTGAGATGTGAGATCCACTGGGAGTCTTCTTAGATCCATGAGTTGGTGCCATAATGAGCAGATTTTTGTATAGACCGAGTGAGCAGGTATATGTGGCAGGCAAAGGCAGGTAGTAAAATGAGCAATTTTATTTCCTACTGGTTTCGATCATACCCATGTAGTCAGCAATTGTCATGCCCTCCCTCACTCTTGCACTCTTCCGTACCAAGCACCAAAGCTAGACATCTGGTTAGCGCATATAAAAACTGTCATTTGAAAGTTTACATACCTATTTACTAGCTTGTTTGATGTTCAAGATGCTGTCTTCACCCCTATCCGATGCACCGGCAGACTCTGAAGCATCTGCCCACTCCAGTCTCGCTGGTACTCCAAGTCCTGCCATCTTTTGTCACGTCTCGGGTGTAGAGGATGTAGACGTCAATCTGTTTTGGCCTGTAACACCTAGAATTCGGAGGTCTCAGTCACTCTCCAGCCTCTCAACACTTTCGCTGCGCACCGCAGTGTTCTCACCACCACCTCAGCACGAATGCCGTCCAGGTGTAACTGCACCATTCTCATGGTTAAACCAAATGACAATTCTGCCGCCTCTTCCTCAGCTGAGTACCCCTGAGCATTTGCACTCGGAGCTGCCTGATGAACCGGGCACTGGTACAAGCTTTGTACCAAGCTCACCTATTCATGGGGCAACCTGTGAGGAGCGTCGTGAGTCCCGTCAACAAAAGGAAAGAAGGAAGAAGGAGAGAGAGGAGCTAGAGTTCAGAAAAGAGGAAGGGGAGCGGAAGCGGAAAATGATAAAGAAGGTTCTACAGACCTTGGACAAAGAGCACTGCACCTTTGGGGACTTCATACTGCACATTTCCAACCCGTTCAATTGGGAAGGTACACGCCGTTACCGTGGGTTCTTCTCTGTCGAAGGTTGTGTAGAGCAAGTCCTCGATTTCTGGGCCGCTTCCAGCTCTGGTCGCAACACGATGAAGGCATGGGCCACAGCCTACACCTCCAAGCTCGTTAGCAATGAAGGCGACTTGATTCGACATGACGGGTTTCTGCGCACCGACAAAGTCAAGATTGACAAAAACTTTACCTTGGGATTCAGTTTTATATCAGTTCAGGACAAGCTTCAGATTCTCTGTCTGATACTCACAGCAATCCTCGAGGCTGTTTGCACTACGGCACGGCAGAAGAAGACCATGGTTGAATCATCTAGGAAGCAAAAAGAGACTGTGAGTATGAGGTATAATCATTCAGCAATGCGTATCTTGACCAATTTATATACCACTAGACAATCATGACTGCAGCTCTGATGTGTCTGGGTGAACGTAGCAGGCGCAACGACTATGTGAAAGCACTCTTGGGCCTATTTGGGTGTGTCAAAGGTGCCCACCGGCAACTTCTAACTGTACTCTCGCATTTTGGGCTCTCACTGAGCTATTCAAGCCTGACTGGCAAGTCGAAGTACCACACGTCCCTAAGTGATATACAAGCATCACTGGAGGCCATGGAGACAAGTATGGGTAGTGATGAACTGGAGGCAACGAGTCATTCTGGACCTGCAAACACAGAAGCAGCTGGCAAGCGCATACAGAAGGAGAAGGGCAAGAGCAAGCTGGGATTGCTGAGGCGTCTCTCAGACGTGTGTCGCAGCGCCACGCGCTCAGAGGCTCTCTTGGACTTGCTCGCGTTCGTCTACAACAATATCAACATGCGCTTTAGGATTGCCGAGGAAGTCATGGGACAGAAAGACTCGCAAGAGAATGGGACATGTTCGACAGCCTTCCTGCTCTGGAACGCAAAACTCGAGCACCTACAGACTTCTTCTCTCCTGTCTCATACGCTCTCAGCTCGACCCCTTGCTTTGTCTGACATTCACCTAACTGCTGAGGAGAACGAAGTTATCAACTCTCGCTTTGAGCACACAATTCTGCATATTCTGGCTCTTTTTGGAGGTGACTGCTTTGCCAAGTACGCAGATGAGATCCCCGTGGCAACTCCTGTGACCGACAGCAAGATAGAGCGTCACAAGACTCAGATTTACCCCCTCCCTGCTGTTCCTATCAACGAGTCTACAACCAGAGGCAACGCCAAAGTGGTAGAAAACATTTTCTGCGAGGTTGATAAGCCTGTGGACTCTCCGCAGTCTGGTTCCATTATCAGGCTCATCGCCAGCGATCAGCTCTCTGTAGCACGTATACAATCTATCATTGAGACTCGAGCTGGTCATGACAGCCTATCAAACTCAATGCTCTGGGTGATTTCAGTACCGGGCCTCTTCCACTACAAAATGGCGCTAATGCACGGTTTCATGGAGACCCACTACAGCACACAGAGCATCAGCGATCCAGGTTCTCTTGCATTTCACAACCATGTTCTGCAAAGGAAGCCAATAGTCCTTTCATCCCTTCCTCCCTTCCGGACGTGTCGTGATCTGGTCTTTGTCTCGCTTTATGCACGCGTATTTCACTGCCTTCTGCTTGTCTCCGGCCACTCTGCGCTTGACGACTTTGCTGAGGCCAATGTACCCTTCACTAAGCTGCAAGGTTATGCTCAACAGATCTGGGAGCAATATGCAAATCCTATGGTGGTCTATGCTCTACGACAGTCTCGGAAGCACGAGGAGTTACAGAGACCAGCAGCAGAGCCTACCGGTATCAGTGCGGATAACGTTCATCGATCAACCAAAGGTGACATGGTCTTCGAGAACGCTGTGCTCTACATGCGCGATGCACTCCTGTTGCGCAAGTTTACAGACGCTATCAAGGCCGGCGACTCTGGGCGAGTATGTCTGGCACTCTGAATGCTTGCGTCAGTCTACCGTGGGATGGGACGTCCAAAGTATGCACACGAGATGATGCATCTAGTGCACCATCTGATGTCAGTATGGCCTGAGGAGCTTTGGTATGTACACGAGCAGACTTTTTATGGTCTATAATCTGACATGTACTCTGTTAAGCAAAATTGTCATGGAGAACTGGCTTGTTAATCCAACAGGTAGAGATAACTCGTGGGTCAAAGTTGACCTAATGCAGGAGCACTTGAATTATTGGATCAAGGCAAGGCATCCTTCATCAAGGCTATTGGTAACTGACCAACCGAATCTTACAGGCAATCTACCGAGCACGAGGTAGCAACGCATCATGGCAGTGGCTTGCAATGATTGCACCATGTGTCCACATCCTTCGCGAGCTTGCAAAGCAGGTGCATGCAACTTTTGTTTCTCATCAAGGCAGCAAGCACACGAGCCCCAATCTTCAGCGCGATATCGACCGGCTAATGGCGTCCCTCGATCAGCATGGTGTCTACACTATTGATGAGGGCCGCTGTATCAATTCAGAAAATGGCGAAGTTCTGAACGTAGTTGCGGATGAGATCAGAGGCCTTCAAGAACCTCTTCAGGAGTACAACAGGCTCTTTCGTGAGCTTCAGTCGAGTATTCGCTCGAAGCCCTTGGTGGGTGAGCTGTATATATCTGTCCCTGCTGACAGACTCGACCCCGGAACATCCACTGGGAGTGCGATGGCAACTACAGCAACTGCCAGCGACTCTCAAGACGCACGTAATCAAGGTACGGCTGAAGACGCGGATGCTGAGATTGATAACGAAACGCTCGAGGATGACAATGACGACAGTCACAGAGAAGACACAGCAGAGGCGTCGGGCTCTGAAGATGAGTCTGATGGTGCAGGAGACAATGTGGCTGGTGAACACGAAGACCAAGAACACTGGTTCAGCCTCAATAATGCGGACGACGTGGTGCTCGATATGGATGCCTTCGACGACAACGATGACGACACTGATAGCGACAAGGATGATGAACATGATGGCGACTGACTTTGGTGCATAGATGGTAAGCTTTCACTTCATTCATGACTTCATCCCTATGCTTACAATGACGTTACTAGCCCCCTTACACTGTTCGACATGCTAATCTGGGATCAGAGACTGTGAGTTTCTGTGCTGTATTCATGAGGCTATTGTGGATCCGTGTTCTGTATCCATTTTCTACATCTCGCAAGGTGTATCTAACAATCATTCATCTATATCTATTCCAATCTATGGGCGACTGCCGTGCGACGAATGATTTTCGAGAGAGAGCGCTTTCGTGATTTTGCTAAGTGTTAAGCGCCGAAGGGCACCCGCCAAAATCCTGACAGGTTCTCCCAGCCGCTTCTTCGAAGCACGCCCCTCGGGCGGGCGGAGTATGAAACGGCACGGGGATGTCCGAGCCTAACCAGAGGTAAACTGCTGTCAAATAGCTCAGGTGGTCGATTCGGTTTCGATCAAGTCCAGGCACAGAAAAACTCTTTCACGCGTCGGCCAACAGTCCAGGCGGTACCGTTCCATTTCCAGCACCCGCAACAGGGCCCCTTGTCGTCGACGCGCGCTACCATCAAGTGATCGGCGACGCGTCGCGGATGTACCGCGCTCGCGCATTTTATCCCTTTCTCCGGACACCGTTCACATGACTACAATTAGCGGCGCATCCGGGATCGCAGGCCCTGGAGCCTGGGCGTACGCGCTTTCGTTCGCCACGCAAATAATATTTTGCGGACTGCTGCGGTCCGCGTCCGGTCCGAACGCTCGTCGGGGGCGGTATGACAATACTCAGGAGGACCGAGACTATAAGAGCGGAAAGCACACGGACGGGGCAGACGATCCCTTTCCTCTCCTGAGAGATCTCCTGCACACCGTTTCTGCCCCAGAAGTCGACCCCGCGCTGCGCTGCACAGGATGTCCTTCGGAAATATCATCACGCTCTCGACTGGCCAGAAGCTCCCACAGATTGGGTTGGGCACCTGGCTCTCGAAGCACGGCGAGGTCGAGAACGCTGTACGTAGTGATCTCTGCGCCGATGACCCTTAGCTTATCGAGCACACCCCCGCAGGTTGAGATCGCCGTCCGTCATGGCTACAGGCACATCGACTGTGCGATGATCTACTATAACCAGGAGGAAGTTGGTGCTGCTCTCAAGCGCGTCATCCCCTCTGTCGTGAAACGCGAGGAGCTTTTCATTACTTCCAAGCTCTGGAACCACAACCATGCCCCGGAGAACGTCGAGAAAGAGCTTGACGAGACTCTGAGTCAGCTCGGATTGGACTACGTTGACCTCTACCGTAAGCGGCCAGACTAGCTTATGGAGTGCTGTAGAATCATTCAACCTTCGCAGTGATCCACTGGCCTGTCACCTTTCCGCCGGGCAAATTCTTCTCGCCGCACCCCGAGAAGGACGAGATGTTGGTCGCCGATGGACCTCCGCTGGCCGAGACGTGGAAGGCGATGTTGAAGCTTCCAGCAACGGGCAAGGTCAAGGCAGTCGGCGTCTCGAACTGCAGCATTAAGTGCATCCAGGGCATCTACGACGCGACGGGCGTCTGGCCGACGATGAACCAAATCGAGCGGCACCCGCTCAACCCGCAGTTCGAACTCGTCGCGTGGTGCAAGGAGCGCAACATCCACATCACGTCCTACAGCCCTCTCGGGAACAACATTATCGGCAAGAAGAAGCTCGTCGAGTATGATGAGGTCAAGGCAATTGCGGACCGCCTTGGTGTGACGTCCGCGCAGGTGCTTGTCTCGTGGGGCACGTTCGACGGGTGCTCGGTCATTCCTAAGTCTGTGCAGAAAGGTGTGCCGCGCCCACATTTGTGTTGAAGAGCTCGCGCTTACCAAGACCCTGCAGACCGCATCATCTCCAACTTCCTGCAAGTGAAGCTCACACAAGAGGACTACGACTCCGTCACCTCGATCGGCAAGAACAATCACGTGCGATTCAACGTGCCCTTCCGGTACTGCACCGAGGCGGACCCCAAGTGGGACGTCAACATCTTCGACGAGGACGACGAGAAGACTGCGTCTCACCAGATCAGGATCATCTGAGAATAAAAATAAAAGGGATAGTCGCAGAATGTACTACTTTACTCAAACGTATTGCTATACCGGGCTGCACATCAAATGACTGATTTCTCACCAGACAGCGTGCGAGCGATGGGTGATGAGATAGAAATACACCAACACTACATGGTACAGCAAGGTACAAGTACAAATCCATAAAAGAACAAGAGAGCAAGAATTTTCAAGTGAAATACCAAACTACACCGGCAAAAGATATTTTTGATGATCGCCATTTAGGTCGATGATGTTCACATCACTACCACGGCATGGATATTAGGCTGTGTCCTTGACTAGTAGTACATCTCGACCATGCGAGGGTATGTTGAACGGGGGTATAGAGAAGAAATAGTCGCAGAGAAAGGCGCTTTCGGGCTTTCGGCGTGAGGGCCGAGAGAATCATGGCATCGTTCGCGACTGTTCGCGCGTCTCAGCCGCATTCAGGTCGGCAAGATCTATACAATGCATCGTTCGGCTCATTTCCAGTTCACCGACGACACGCAGGCACTTACCGATGGGAGACGTGAACGTCATGACATACGGGTGCAAGCTCGACGACTGCCGCTTGTGCGAATCGCGGCCCGGACGGCGGGACGTCGTGGCAGCGGCCATCGGCATCGGCACCTCGAACGTTTGCTCGAGCACGCCGCTCGACTTCTTCACCAGACTCGGCGTGCTCCGCCCGTCATCTGGCAGCGAGAAGCCCAGCGCTCCGTGTACTTGAGGGTGTCCGTCGCCGAAACGGTGCACGTGCCCCAATGAATGCCGCTGCATCTCCGCCTGCGAAGCGGGCTGATTCAAGTTCGATCGCCGTCTCGAATGACGTTTCATTGGCACGCGCCCAGGTGCCGGTGGAGGCGTCGACGACGGCGGCGCCGGGGCTGCTCCTGCCAGGTGGTACGCCTCCGGCGATGGTGGCGGTGGTGGTGAGAGCGCCCCAGCAGCAGGAATGTATGGGCTCGACAAGGAGTGAGGGAAAGGCTGACGTTGATACGCTGCTTGATCCGGATATGCGTGCTGCAGACGGTACAGGGTACCGGACGTCTCAACCTGTGCTTGGTCCTGGGAGACATGACCTTCATTGCTGGCGTATGGTGGCGCATCATCATCCTCGTATCCGTAGTTCTCGTCTAGTTCTTCGTGTTCGCGTAATTGCGACTCCGTCGGATAAAACTGATGTCGCGAATCCACCGGCGAGAAGTCAGACGAGAGATGGCCGAAATTCGAGAAATTTAGAGATCGATTCACGGCAGAAGTCGGAGAAGGAGGCATGCTCTTCGGTGAGCCTGAGCCGACGGATGTGGGTAGCTTCGGTTTGTATCCTGCTTCGCTTATGACAGATCGAGGGAAGAAAATCTATTATAGGAATTAAAGGCATGCCACAGATGTGGAAGAGTTGGTCTAGATTGAGCACTGTCCCTAAGCTGTGAATGCTCAAGATGCGGACTTACCAGCAGGGTAATCGTAGTGGACACGAAGCAGCCGATTCCAGCCATCATGAGCAAGAAGTCTAGAGAACATGTCGGCGATTGAAGTCCCGGATATACGCGGTCAGATTCAGCCTACCTGTCCAGAACCTGAGAAGAGTATGAGCAAGGGCATCCGATAAGTTGTCATATCTTGATGAGGACGACTTACACGCTGCGGTTTATTGGGTGGGAATCCCCTACAATGCCATCGATTGCCACAATGAGAAGCGGTATAGTGAAGAGGAACCGGAAAACGACTCGAGCAAGCTGTTTCAGGCAGTTAAATTGCGCCTAATCGCACGCTGAATGGGTCCTCGCTTACATTGAGCGCATAAAAAGTCGCCAGCCGGACGACGACTGTAGGGTCTGCACCCTCCGCTTTCACATGCTTCAGGAATTTCGGGAATGCCCAGAGAACATACAAAAATAGAACCGTTGTGCCAGTTGATCCAGAGCTGCCAGCAAGGAAGATGTACGCGTCGAGCTAAGAGCAATGAAATGCCGGAGAAGCCGGGGTAAAAATGCAGCGATATAGACAACCATCAGCGACACGGAATAGTGAGCGAGAAGGTGCATACAGTCACCACGTCTCTTCTTGCAACCAGAGCCGTTAAGGGCATCCCGATAAAGGCAACCATGCTACCTGTAAGAAGCATGATTTAGGTTAACGCACTCGTGCAGTTTGAGTAAACGCACCCATGTACCACATGCGGTATTCCCAGCTCTCGAACCACTCCGCCTTATCCGGATTCTGATGGAGGAGATAAAGCCAGAAAGCAAGTTCTAGCACAGGATATATAGAGTCATAGGACATTGAAATTGATAAGAGAAGTGAAGGTTAAACACCGGATGTATGCGAATCTCACCTTCCAGATGCGTAATCCTGCGCATATCGGAGAGTACTCAGAGGCTGACCTAGAGAGGAACTCACAGAAATGCCACTTACAGTTCAAGGCCCCAAGCAAAGCTAAACACGAACCCCAAGGGCAGAATCCAGTGATGATTAACCGGCGCATAGAGATCAAGAGGTTTCGGAATGACTGTTGCAGGAGACAGACGACGATGTCATATACTCTGCATTCATCTTAGATGCTCTTCACGTACCGGAGCCGTTGGGGAGGACCACCCAACCTGGTCATGCTCAGTGAGGATATATACCTGAACATATCTAAGAACTAGATGTACCTTCTCTGAATTTGATGGCAGTCGTCGCTATACTGTATATCACAAATAATGGCACTGAACCTAGATAGGAATACTATCGCAGGGTCTCAGTTTGAATGGCGAGAAGCGTGGCTCACAGACAGGGCCTCACCGTCATGATACGCTTGAACGCCCCCGGTTGACGTCCCGAGGACCAATGGAGGCATCTAAACTTGTCGTAGCTCCATATATGGTAGATCAAGAAGCCAAGAAACTGTGTGGGTGAGTGCGATCGCGCATTGACGCAAGAGTTAGGCACGCGGGGTCGGGAATAACGGCGGATAAACAGAGGGAGACGAGCATATGGTAACAAGTGGTTAGCCAGCACGTCGAGCTAGAAGCACACAGGCTGCTTGGAAGCAAGGGGAATGACGCACTAGCACAGAAAGTATCGCCCACAGAAGATAGGCGGTGGGAGATGCGGTACTCATGAACCGTCTTCCGGGGTTCTATCCGACGAGTGGCGCGGGTTGTAGAACTGACGACTCGGGGAAGGTAGCGGGGTGTGCAGTGTGGACGTCCAGGTTTCCCGCACCTCCCCAGAGCGGAGGACAATAAGGCCGACGGCGGGCAGTGCTTCCAGAAAGATGTCCTGGAAATGGCGCCGCGCAACCGTCAGGCAAACAGATGGCGTCGAATCAAATGGGCACAAAGCGTCGCAAATGGGCGGATAGTCTGTCGAAAAAGCAGGATTGGGCGTCGCTCGTCGTGGGGGTCGTGGGCGTTGTCGTGGGCGTTGAGAACAGGGAACAGGTCTAACTTTCCCAAGACGCCATCAGCCAACACTTCCTCGGATTTCCTTTCCAGGCGACGGTATGCCAGCGGCGTCCCACTTTCAGCATAGGCCTGGTACCTCCCGACGCATACTCTCCCTTTCGTATATGCTAGTTCCGAATATAAATTAATTTGAGCGAGCTTGAAGAACCTGCGGGTTATCTGAAGCCATGTCTGATGACGAAAAGGGGGTGGATATTTGAAGCAAGTGCTCGGCTCGAGTCGGGGTTTAAGACTACCAGTCACACGATATCTCGCACGGGAACGCACCTTGTTTCCGGCTAGGCCGCTGTAGTCAATACTATATCGAACGCCGGGGAAAAGTAGCGGATCTGTCGGTCCGCCGCCACGAAGCTCAGCCGAACCGCAGCCGTGCGGCAGACCTGTAAGTACTTGGATGAAGTTGACTCCCGCGGCTGAGTTCACACCTTCTGAGCTTGCTGCCCTTGCATCTGTGTCTTATGAGTCAAGCCGGCTTTCTATTGAGGAACACTCTGATATTGCTTCCAAAGCATGGCGTACAGCATCAGCATCATAGCAGATCTGGATTGTTCCTGCGAAGGTCAGTGGACTCAGACTCTGGGTTGCGAAGCATTTATTTAGGGCAATTGATACAATTACAATACAATTAGCATGTCTTCCGCCCAAGTAGATTCACAAGTCGTTTCAGGGCAGAAAGCAGACTTGCCGCTTTCCGGGGTCCGCGTCTTGGAGATAGGCCAAGTCATTGCGGGACCATTCTGTGGTCAGCTCCTCGGGTGAGCCGTTTTCACAGGGAATTATCTACCGGTAAACTCAACGACACGCCGAATCGCCAGTCATTTTGGCGCGGAAGTAATCAAAGTTGAACCACCAAACGTGGGCGATCCGCTTCGTGTCTGGCGAGAGCTAGACGTGGATGGCGTGAGTCCTTGGTGGAGAAGCATCGCCCGCAACAAAAAGAGTGTAACAATCGATATGCGCAAGGAAGAAGGGCGGGAGTGAGTCGCTGAGCCAATTCTTTTCCGTTATCACACTAAATGTCATGCAGGTTGGTCCGCAGGCTGGCCGCAAACAGTGACGTTCTCATTGAGAACTTCAAACCGGGCAGTGCGTCCTCCACCTTTGTTCCTCCATTCGACGCTGATATCTACTCCTTAGCCTTGGAAAAATGGGGTCTTGGGCCAGGCGACCTTCGCCGCTCTAACCCGGACCTCATCCTCACTCGCGTGAGCGGCTACGGACAAACTGGCCCGTGGTCCTCGCGCCCGGGCTACGCTTCAGTCTGCGAGGCTGAATCCGGCTTTCGCTATATCAACGGTCAGCCAGACCCTGAGACTGGTGCGCTGTTTGGTCCGCCTATCCGGCCAAATATCAGCCTAGGGGACTCAGTCGCAGGGTTACACGCTGCCTTCGGAACGGTGCTCGCCCTGCTGGGTAGAAACGCCAAGCGAGCGAAAGGCCAGGCTGGGGGACAGACGGTCGATGTTAGTATATTTGAGAGGTATGCCCCTCATTTTTTTTAATCATCTAAACACAACTCAACTCCAGTTCAGCATGGTCAACCTTATGGAGGGCGTTATTCCGGAATACGACAGAAAGGGAAAGGTAAAGCTCGTGCTTTCGTTACGCTATTCGACGCACTAAACGTGTCCTCAGATCCGCGGCCCTTCAGGCTCGTCCGTGACGGGCATCGTACCGACAAACGCCTACCCGTGCCTACCCTCGCCCACGAACCCGTCCCAGCCGTCCTTCGTCGTCATCGGCGCGAACGCAGACTCGATGTACACCCGGCTCATGACCGCTATCGGGCGCGCAGATCTGACCGGGCCCGACTACGCGCAGAACCACCACCGCGTCGCGCGGCAGGCCGAGATTGAAGACGCCATCAGCGCGTACACGCGCACGCGCACCGCCGAGGAGGTCGAGGACGTCCTGCGCGTAGCGAGCGTGCCCTGTGGGCGTGTGTTCAGCGTCAAGGAGGTCGTCGGGAACCCGCACACGGAGGCCCGCGGCCTCGTTGAGGAGGTGTGGGTCGGCGATGAACAGAGGAAGAGCGGGTGGATGGTCAAGATGCCCCGGGTCGCGCCTGTGCTCGAGGGCATCGACACGAGTACGCGCTGGGCGGGTCCAGACCTTGGTCAGCACAATCATGAGGTGCTCTGTGGAGAGCTGGGACTTAGCGAGACGGAGCTTCAGAAGCTGCAAGAACAGGGTATTGTTGGGAAATAAAGTGAGCACATGTCTGCCTAGGTAGGAGAAGGCGTCATTCAGCCCGTCCAAGTTCCGTGTGGTGAAGAATATCCCTAAACCCGACAAAGTGTTAATTCCCTTGGCTTTTCCGTAGCCTTATACATATTCTGACGAAGATATAGAGCTGACCCAGACCTGTCGGCACTGTTTTGATACAAGTGAACACTTGCCAGATGTGAGCTGCATCGGCAAAAAGGGACGGAGATTATATTGCATTAAAATGCAATATAATGCGATCCGGTCCGTTATCTTGCATTATAAACTCAAAAATCACTAAAAATCGCATTATAACGCATTATAAATGCCCGACGGTGCATTATAATGCATTATATTTGACCGCCCAATGTGCCGATGTGAATCCTGGTAAACACAGTGATGTCAGGGGTTGGAGCTCCCTGCCGAACCATTATCAGGTCTCTGAAAGAGACTAGTATCTACTTCACAGAATAGGGGTGTTCAAAGTTCGCGCGCAAAACCGATTCACGACCGCTTCGAAAGTCGTTTCGAACGAAGTGAAACGCGACTGAAGCGCGCGTAGACTTTGAACACCCCCGGCGACCACGAGGGAGTAAAATCGAACTGCTAGGCGTGCTCAATTC